CATTTTTGGTAAAAAGTGATATTTTCGACTTCTTGTTAAAAACCCGCAAGTCCGATTGCTTTGATATTACATATATAGGTACTACATGTGGACCTCTCTCAGATTTGTTTATTTTGTGATGATATCTTCAATTCTCTAATTTTGGTGAATATTTTTGTAATTTTTGGTAAAAAGTGATTTTTTCGACTTCTTATTAAAAACCAATAGTTCAATTGCTTTGATATTACATATATAGATACTACATGTAGACCTTTCTCAGATTTGTTCATTTTGTGATGATATCTTCAGTTCTCTAATTTTGGTGAATATTTTTGTCATTTTTGGTAAAAAGTGATATTTTCGACTTCTTGTTGAAAACTGTAAGTCTGATTGCTTTGATACTATTCATATTGTTCATTTTCTAATCATGTCTTCAGTTCTTTAATTGAAATGTGCATTGCTAACAGCGGAGCTATCTCAGCCGATAGGCTGCTTGTTGATAAAACAACTAGGTTTTAAAGAAAAGCTCCGATAGCAACACTTTTTAAAGATTCCGAACCAGCCTACGTTCGCCGCGCCGGATTTCAGAAGAAAGAGAGACGTCGAGTAAGTTTGCGATCCTGAATTTCCGTTCGCTTTATAAACATCTATGTTATTTATCTACAGGGTACCCACCATTCATTCATTGAGTGGATCGATGTGATTCAGGCAAACAGCTCAATGAAACGTGTTGTAAACTGGAATGACCTGGCTACTTCTGGACAATAACAGACAGAAGTGGGTATTTCTTATGTAATAATATTGTTGTTGTGTTAGTTACGACAATATAGGAGAGTTACCATTTTCCCGCATCCAAACAGCTTTGATATTGTTTTGGTTGGCAGTGTCATTTAAAGTAACACCCATTCAGGAGCACCCAAGCCTGATTTTCACTTTTAGGTTAAGCCATGACGCAATCGTCTAATTACCCGTTTGATACTCGTGTTCGCAATGTTTAATCTATTCAAAGGACATCATGTGATATATCACACAAAAATGTTAATGGTGAATTCAATTCTGGAACAAAGTCATTGTTTGCGAGATATGGCTATTTTTTGTATTTTTTTTTCGTAAAATTAGCGAATTTTAATTTAGCTATAAATTACCAAAGTTTGAAATATATATAATTTATTCACGCTCTTCCCAACAATAACGTCCGAGTTATTTAATTATATGAATATATTATGTCAGTACATGTGCACATTAGGTATAGGCCTGATGTTTCTTCTGAGAATACCATAAACAAGTTAAAGCGGGAGGGTCAAGCGACGATAACAACACACGCTAAAAACGCAAAGGATCATGGATAGACGCTTGTTTGTAAACAATGACACGCTATGGCTATCTGACGCATGCGCAGGTGACGACCCTCCCGCTTTAAAGTTATCAAAGTGGTTAGGATGCAATTGCACGGTGACACCTACAGCTACGACTCAATCTGTGTGAACTTATATGTGTTGTTATTTTTATTTCTAGTTTGAACTCTCTACCTGGCAACTATAATAACTATTGACATCGTATTTCAGTGATCATCGCATTATAGACTAAACCGACAAACCAGATATGATCGCGGTGAAGAAGCTTTTTTTCTGTGTTGTAACTATATCGGTCTTTCTCTGTGTAGTTATGTATTGTTTGATGCAACGAAAGAACAGCCAGGTCATACGAGACAGTGTACAATATGGGAGTAGAGTGTTTACACCTGATAGGGTAATAGAAAACAACCTGAATGACTTGGCTCATTATGGTTTATCTCAACTTCAAGTTGATTCATTTAGAAATGATTCGGCATCACCTGCACTAATTTCTCGACAAAATATATCTTTCTACCAAAATGTAAAAGGATTAGGAATGGATTCCCAAATGACTAATGGTGTACCTATAGAAGCCCATAGACTTGCGATGACGGCAATTCAAAACGTAGAGCACATTAATATTGGTGATTTTGTTAAAATGAAAGCAGATGAACAAAATTCTACATACATCAAGGCACTTAAACTTGTCGGATATACAAAACGCTTACCGACCGTTATTAATATCGGTGCAAAGAAAGCAGGAACAACGGCATTACAGATTTTCCTCAGTTCACATCCACAGATTGCTTCATCTCTGAATCACATGGAAATTCATTACTTCGACTGGAACTATGACAAAGGCATAGATTATTACCGTTCTCGATTTCAGTATTCAAAAGAGTCCCAGGAGGTGTTTGAGAAAACTCCACGGTATTTCATCACAGAGGAAGCTCCAAGGCGTATTAAAGAAGATATCTCACCAAATGTCAAAATTATTCTGGTCGTGCGCGATCCTGTTAAACGAGCGATGTCCGACTACAACCACGTACGTTGGGTTAAACGCTCACTCTCGACACAGTTGGCCCTCAGGGAACCACACACTGAAGACACCTTTGAGAAAACTGTATTCACGAAAAACGGCGAGGTAAATGCTGATTCGGAACTAGTCCATGCTGGTAAATACGCTATGCATCTCAAAAGATGGCTCGAATACTTTCCATTGAATCAAATCCTTGTTCTCGACGGAATTGAATTGTCCACTTATCCACTGACACAGATGAGGAAAGTAGAACAATTCCTTGGTCTTCAACCATATTTCACGCAAGAACATTTCGGTTACCATGAAAAATTGCACGTGTACTGTTTGGTTAAACCTGTAAATAAATGCCGATATAATAGTAATCACAAAAGCCCGGAAATTATACTGAGTGATGGTCTACGCAATACTTTATATGACTTCTATCGTGCATACAACAGAGAATTGGAAGAAATGCTCAATCAAACGTTTGCTTGGAGCAATCTGTAAATTATTGAGTATCTACACTAAGAGATAATGTTTAATATTTAGCGGTGCTTTAAGTCGAACATTTATCTGCCAAATCACTGGATCGAGAAATTTTGAGTTTGACGTCATGCAGATGTATGGGGAGTTTCGGGTTTCCTGGTTGCTTAGCTAATCTACGCTCGATCTACACTGATCCATTTACAGTCAGCAGGAGTATGCAGTTTTGGGCATGTTTTACTGTAACAACTTCCGTTTTGTACCGAACATGTTTACTGTGAATTGCTGATATCCGCGTTACTTATAAACACACATAAAATGTTCCTCGACCATAGACCTTAGAGAACAGTGACATGCAACTGCGGGTAATCCTTTCATGTAATCTTAGTTATAATCTTTACCCAATTACCGCCTTAGAGGAACCGACAATAAAGTTATGTCAACACCACTGTTTCACCATCTCATGTTCCATGAGCAAAATGAGCTAACTTTGTGGTTTAGAATATAATCAGAAAAATTACAGTTGAGTAAAACTGTTGATACGAGTGAAACTAAAAATTGCGAAGTTAACAGTTTGTATTCTACTATGAAAACATGAAAGGAAACAAAGAGGGTCTGTTTTATCTACAAGGAAACAAAACTACCTAAACGTAAACAATGACCTGTCAAAATTTGGCATCATATTTAGACCCGATAGTCCGCCCGTTATACAGTGACAAATGTGAATATTGGCAAAGCAGAACTTATCAACACTGGATCAAAACTTGATTTTATGTTGTCTCTGTAGAAGTTGCATGTCTCTGTTTTTCAAGGTCTATTGTGCGACAAATATAATATAACATTTTGCTAATAAATATAAATTGGGTATACAATATAGCTTGATTTATGTGTCTAGAACCGCTCTTTGGAGAAGAACTATGCCGATTCCTCGCCAATAGACACAGTGGTAAAATAATGAATGGGAAGTTGGTAGGTTGAAATGTCATTGAAAAGTGGAAAGTCAAAAAGATTAGTTGTAAATTTGAAACCTTTAGGTGGAATGTCGAAAAAAAATATTACAAAATCGAAAATGTTAGTTAGTCATACACGTTTTTAGCCGGAAGTCGAACGATTTTTTGGTAAGCGATAAATGTTCGCTCAGAATTTATAAAAATCTGCATAGTCATGAAATATGAGTCGAAAATCAAAAAAACCAAAAGTGGGGTATAAAGAATACGTGAGTGAAAATTCGGGTTAAAGGTCGAAAAAACAGGTTAAGCCCTGGAAAACCATCTTTACGTCTCAATGAAGAGTCGCGAATCTTGGATGGAAAGCCATAACATTTGGTTGACAATTTTAAAATATTTGGTGGAAAGGTTTCACTTAAATGAATATAGTGTATTTTCCCCTATTTGAAAAGGATGGGACGAATATAACAATTTATTTAGGTTGTGAATAATCTCAGACAACTGAACGTGACAACATGCATCAGGATTTAGCTTTTTATAATGTGTAATAAGGTCATCTGAGATTACCAAAATTTATTTTTGTAGTAAACTGGATGAAGCATGATTTGAAAATTCATATTCAATGTACTCCGGTCAAATGAAGTGCGCCCTAATATATGTGGTGTTCGAAATGTTTTGATAAGCCTGGGTTAGCATTAGTTCTTGTTTTTGTTTTGTTATTTACAACATATTTAATTTCTTAGCTGATGAGGCAATGGACAACCGGTGAATTTATTTTCTGCAAATTGTATTGTCTGGAATGTTGATAATGAGAAAATGTTCGATAGTCGAATACTTTTGTTGCAAAATTCAAAAATGTAGGTGAAAAAAAAATGGCTGTATTCAATATCGAAATCAAGGAAAGCTGAGAAAGAGCTTCTGTGTGCTGAAGGTATTGAAAGCATGAATTACAAATAAGGAATACTGTATTTACTATATTAGAAGCACATCTACAATTCACATAAAGTAACAATTGTGTTTATTGCATGCAAAATCATTGAAATATCTTTCTTTGCCCATAGACTTGTCCTTGTCATTTATATTTACAGTAAGCACAGTCATGTACTTCTAATAGATTGAGCAAATACAGCATGTACAAATATAATTGGTTTAACAATTATAATTTAATGTACCTAGTTTCATTACAATTTGGTTCCCATATATATCAGAAATCTGTGTCAGTTCATTATAATAATGCATTTTCGAATTTCTTACCTCAAAATGACTCAATTTCCTCGCAAAACTAAATAAAAACTGATTTAATACATTACAAATGTAGTCAGCTTGTCGGCTGATCTGCACTGGCTGGGAAGATGAATTCTGATTGGCTAAAAAAACAAAAAACTTGTGGCGTTGAATGCACGTTCATTGTCAGTATTGTTATGCAAATTCAAACTAGCTAATCATTTACAACCTTCCGAGCCAGTGCAGATTAGCTCCAGCTTGTTTCTGTTCATTATGTTCTGTTCGAATTCTTATAACACTACTATTCAGCAATCTAAATAACCGTGACACGAAACCAATACACGTCTTCCTTACTGCAATCACAGAGGCTGACCAGTGACAGACACAAACATTAGTACTCGAAGTTAACTTTCAATTAAAGTTCGAGTTACTAACAACAGAAAAATGTATATTGCCCGAAACTCGAAATTCTGTTAACTGTTCATTGAACATCGAGTTACAGTTTGGGCGTGGCTTCTCAAAAGTGGGCGGTTTTTTTCAAATATGGTCGTGGTCATTTTTGTAACTCGATGTTTTCGTAACTCGGTGCCCATAATTCAAACAATTCAGCATCTCATCCCGTTTTGACATGTGCTTTTGGTACGTTTGAAAGGCGGAAGAGATTAAAGTTTACAGTTATCGCAATTTGGAGGCCAAAAACCGCTGTGAAAGAGGGAATCGGATGGTCAATGTTTAGACCTAGTGTTTTTTTTGTGTTAATAAAAAAAATTTTATTCCGAAATAAAGAAAAAGATACAGAGCAGATGACACCCCCCCCCCGGAAAAAAAGAAGTACATGACAAACGCTGTCTGGTATACGGTGGTGAGACAAAAGCAAAAACAAGATTAATTTACTTGTATTAAGCCATCTAATTATTTAAGAGCTCCCATTTACAATAGTGATATTGTTTCTTTCCTTTATATAGGGCTATTTCCAACTCTATTTTTCTATTTTCACGGACTAGTGATTTAAACGCAATTGCAGAAGGGATTGTAGCATTTCCTCTACAGCTATAAATATACTTTTTGAACAGTAAAATAAAATGGTTCAAAATTGGATTGTCATCATTTAAAATACCTAAAATTATATTTACTTTATTACACTCTATTTGTTGAATAATACTACACCCTGCCTGCAATGCATTCCATAATTGTTGAACATGGTGACAGTCAACTAAAACATGTCCAATTGTTTCATTATACAATTGGCAGAGTGAACACAAAAGAGAATTTACAAGGCTCCATTCAAATAATTTTGCATTAACAGGTAGGTATCTATGTAAAATTTGAAACTGAAAAGCTCTCATGGCTGGAAGCTATAGTTGTCTGAAAAGGAAGTGAAAATATCACATTACTCATTTCCGAGGATACACCATACAGTTCTTGAAATCGGCTGACAATGGTTGTCTCAACAATATCTCTGCATAACAATTTATAAATGTGTTTACTTGTAGTTGAATTAATATCTATATAGGAGGACTTGCAATTATTCCTTTCACCATAATCAACCTTTGTATGTCTGTTTCTATGAATTATACTGTTCCATTCCCTTGGAATAGCATCTATTATGCCCTGAATTTGGAAAAATTCTTACTTGAGAAATATCTTTAGTATTCCAAAAACCCCAATTGTAAAAGTTTCCATTGGTGTCAATTAAATCCCCAATTCTATTAATATTTTTTTTGCCAATCCCCGAAAATACGCTAAGTGGTTAGCAATCTTAAAAAAATTATTATTCCAAAGTATCTGGCTATCAATTTGCTGTACCGTTCAGGAATTATA